AAATACATTAATTCAAATGTTGCTGCCATTGCAGCTCAGACACTCTTGAGACTCCATATTTGGAAGTGCTTGCAGTTCTGTGGCACATGCTTTGCAGTATCCCTGTACAGGGCTAGAGCAAGGGTAGACTTAATTTTTTAACAAATAGATGGTCCAGCTGAAGACAAACTGGAAAATACATTTGTTATCTTGACAACGGATTTATTTCCCTGGTTTATAAAGTATTTAAAAACTTAAGAATGTGGATTGAAAAACAGTTTTGGGACAGCTGTCAAAATATGACTATAAATGGTATATTAGATAATAGTATATCAGTATTAAGTTTCCTGAATTTAGTAATTTTGCCATAGCTACATAAGAATGTCCTTATTATTCTTTAGCTACAGGCTTAAATATTAAGAGATGAAGGGTTTTGATGTCTGCAGCTTATTCTCAAGAGATTCATCAAAAATAATGCGTATGTGCACAGAAGGGGGAGAAAACAAATGTGGCCAAGTGTTAACAAACAGTAAACCTAGCTGAATGACAGGAGAGTGCCTTATTCCTGTGCCACATTTGTGTAAGTTAGAAATTTTAAAAGAAAAATTTTCAATCAGTAAGATGATCAATACAATAGAAAAGCAGTTAACACTGGTAATTTAGTTTAAAATGCTAAGAAAAAAATGAAACAAAATAATAAAATGTGTTAAAACTTAAGTGACAGTTTCATGGGTGTTCATTATACTGTTTTTATCTTTTATTATTTTAAATAATCAAAATTATATCCAAGTAGTGGTAATATTGACATTAGAAGTACATGGCATTTTGGCATGTGAGGTATTACTGGGTAAACAGAAAAAAATCCACTGAAACCACAAACATCAAAACACTCCAAACTGACAAGGGTAATACATTCCTCCTCTTAGATTGTTTTTAAAAATCTAATTTGTTCTTGGTTATTTCAAAACACCTTTTTACCTTGTAGTCTGAATATTTATAGAATATGGCTATCATTTTATTATGTCCAGCTCCTATAGATCTAAAATGTGATTTCTACCATTTCAAACTTGGATGTATGAGTTTTTTTAGAAGACATTTTTAAGTCAGATTGAACATACCAAGTTGAGTTTTCTAGAATATGAACTCAAGCTGTTGTTCAGCTTGTAGCAGGTAACTTTTATTCTAACTATAATGCTATAAGGAAAAGGCTGATCAATGAGACCAAAAAAGTGAAAAAATACAAAATGACAAAAAGTACTTCAAGTTCTTGCAAAATATTAAGACATGATAGAAAAACGGATAGAGGACAGGTACAGTCAATTCATAATAGAAATACAAACTAAATCTGAAAAAAGTTCAACTTCATTAATAAATACACATTATAACTGAAATACCTGGATTTCTCAGCACTGTGAGCAACAGAGCTGGGGAAGTCGCTGTCTGGAGGATTCTCTACCCTCCACCTTGCTTCCTCTACTCTCCAGCTTTCTGCCCCAGCCCTTTGCCTGGCCACCCTTGCTTTAGGTATGCCAGGATCTGGCATCCCCTTGGGGTTTTTATTCTATTCTTCTGTGGCCTGGTGGCCAAAGCCGCTTCTCCCTTCAGGGGCCCCTGCCCAGCAGATGCTTCTACCCATGGTAGACGCACAGCTGCCTATGATGAACTTTGGCTCCCTGCCACCAGCACCACCTGCCCCCAAATTAAAACTGCATAGACCCTTTGACACAGTTCTACTTCCAGAAATTCATCATACAGATACAGTTGTTCAAAGAAACACAAACATGGGTATTTCAGTTTACCCTGTAAAGCAAAAAATGAGAAACTTCTTAAATGTCTGGGACTGGTTAAGTAAATTGATTATACAATATCTTATGCAGCAGTGAAAAAGAAGTGCATATTATCAGCTATGTGCTGAGATGGGAAAATTGCTACAATACATTCCCGAGTGAAAACAAGGTCCCAAGCATTGTGTTTGAAAGCTACCT